CTTTTTCACTTGGCAACTCAATCATCTTAGCTGAGGTTTCTCTCCATTTGTTAAAGAATGAGGTGAAGCATTCATTTTCCTTCTGCTTGAGGATTTCAAGTTCCCTATGGTCAGTCTCAACTTGAATGTTGCATTTGTACCTATCAACGAAAGCGTTTGCTATGGACTCCCAGGTGGAGGTTTTTTCTTTCTCGAGAGAAAAGAACCATTGCTGACAAACGGTTTCGAGAGATAGTGAGAACAGAGAGGGGAACACCTTCTTGTCGATACCCTTAATACTCATTATTGTTTCGAAGGCTCTTAAATGAAAATAAGGGTTATCAATTCCTTTGAATTTTGGGATGTCGTTGGCATTGAACTTCTGCAGAAGAAGATCTTTGTCCACCGAGACCCCTTGTGAGCTAAACCCTTGAAACTTGTAGTCGCTTGATAGCTTGCTCAGACTCTCTTGCATGAGGTCCATCTGTTGTTGTTTCACGGGATCATCAATCTTGAGGGTTAGAATTTTTAGTGCCTCAGTCACAGTAACAAGTTGGTTCCTGAGCTCATTGAATTCTTCTTGTGTTGTCATTGCTGTCCTAGCTTTCCTCTTACGAGTGATGGGTTTGTCGAAAAGTTGGACTTGTACGAAAAGATTGTCTTTGATTAACCGCCCTTCCTTTCTTGCCCACGCGATGTAATTTAAACCATTTTGTTTTAATTACTTGAATCAAATCGACTTTGACTTTACGGTTTTAAAGAGGAAAAATAAAAAATAGGTGCATATTTTAAATAAGGTATATATTTTTAGGAACCAAGTATGATATTTAAATTGGAGGATTAATATCCGACTTACCCCCCTAAAAAAAATTGACAGAAAAATCACGCATACAAGACTTTCTTATACGTGGTCAAAGTATGTGTATTGGTGTGCGTTGAGTGTAAGTGACATGCTTGGATTTTTGTGTAAGACCATGGGACTTGGTGCCTAGACTCAATTAATGACTTAAAAATGTATTATTAACAGTAAAATTTAACTGAATTACTTAGCAAACTGGTTAATTAGACACAAAGTGATGACTCGAGCAATAAACCAAACTGTCGTCAAAACGACAGGACTGGCGCCTCTCTTTGTAGTGTAGCTCCAGACGACAGAACTGTCCCCAGGTGCCACACTCCACAGAGTGGAGCTACAGTTCAAACTTTGGCGCCATTGCTAGAGCGTCGATCTGAAACTGTTTTCGGTATTGTTGATCAACAAGGGTATGCCTAAAGTCCTACTAAGTCAACTCTGGTTAAAATATTAGACTTCATTTACTCAAATTAATTAATTGATTAATTAATTAGGCAAAGTTCTTTTAGTCATTAATTTATTTAATCTTACCACAAGTCAAACAAACGGTTAAGAAAAACACATACCATATGCACAACAAATAATGCACAATCAGTCAAGTAGGCACGATATGATGCAATGAGTTTGCAACCTAACCATGGCTCTAGTTCTCTAAAGTTCGGGATATGGGTTAGTCAATAGCGGGTCCATGGTTAATTGTCCGGATACACCGCGCGGAAGCCTTACCGTGAAGGGTTAGCGCGAGTGGATGGGACACCGCGAATTTTTTTTTTTTTAACAAAAAAATTCGCTTCCATGGTTTGGTGAATTCAAAATTCTCGAAAGTACCCTTTGTTGCTCAGAGCGTTCAATCAGTAGATGGAGCATGAATTCCCAGAGGGTTATGTCCATATGTAGAACACATATGGGTTTTAAAGTGAGAAAAACTCAATCAGGAAGAAGGATCGAGCGAACAATGCTAAAAACTGGTCGAAATTAGAACGCATATTTCTGGCTCGGTATTGGAAGAATTTGGCGCTAACAAACAGAGGTTGGCGCCAGCTTTTGGCTTTAGCACCTGGCTACAGGGTTGTCGTCTGGCACTAAAGTCAAAATACCGGCGCTAATTTTTGTTCACTGACGCTAATTCCTACATGCCTCAGCAGCTTTCTGTGCTCGATGAATTTTTCCGGTTTCGCGCAATGTTATTTCGATCCTAGTTGTGAAAGACATTTCTCAAATTTCCTACGTGTAAAAATCCTATGTTTTAACTCATGACGGATGGTCTTTCCAATGAGATCTTTTTTATGCATATGACAATAATGTTAATCAAAATTACGCACATGAAATACTTAGAACGTTTCAAGTCTCATTCACTCATTCTAAATCATTGCCGAAATAAATTTCAGGAATTAAAATAGAAATCCTCCCCAGTGGAGTCGCCAAAAACTGTAGGGAATATTTCAAGCGTTATCCCTAGCTTGAACCCCACTGTGATCATACACTTAAGCATGGTGGCGTCCAAAGGGAAAGAAGATAGAGCAAAAGAGTCGCCAACAAGTTTTTTAGAAACTTGTAAACCGTTCACGAGGTGAAGGTTACACCCCTTAACGATCCAAGAGATCGTCAACTCCAATAGGTCTTGAACCATGACTGGTAGTTCGGGGATGAAGGTACAAATCCAACCTAAAAGAGATTGAACCTGCCCTAATAGTAGGCCTCTACTTTATTCTGATCGTATTCATATGCGCTTGCTGACTAACATGCAATCAATAGGATTAACCCTAAACATGTTTATCTATGTTGGTTGAATATTAATGCACAAATAAACAATTATTAGCGATCACTTGAATTATAATCAAATTAACCCTAAACAAGATTATTAATTATCTTATTAAGCGTGATTACAAGTATCAATTCCCTTTAAACATGCATAAAAGGCGTGATCAAGCAATAACAATAAATATCAAGCAACATAATAATAATCATAAATAATAATTGATAAAATAATCATGTTAAAACATAATAATAGCAAGATCCTAGACATGATACTAATAAGATTAATAACAAACCCTAGCATGTCACTAAACATTGAATATCAAAGCTTTAGCTCTAACATGATACTAACGATCATAAATATTAGGAAGAACATAAAAGGCATTATACTTCTAATCATACTTGATATTAAAGTTACCCTAGACATGATACTAGGAAGATCAAAACGCTCTAACATAACATTAGGAATCATAATAACAATCTAAGCATGATTTCTATATCATAATATCAATTAAAACCATTAAAGTACTTACTCTGATGCCTCGTACCTCTTTCTAATAACAAAATACACACGTTAGTAACTTCAAGGAAAATAATAAACAACAATTAAATTAAGTAATAAAAAGAGAGATTTGGGACCAAACCCTCATAAATCAAAACCTTTCACGTCTAGGGCGAAGGCAACTTCGAATTTGGCTAGGTGTATCTAAGTCTTGTGAGTGCGGAATTTTGTATTTGAGAAAAACTAGTTTAGAAAAGAGAGAGAGAGAGAATAATCAAGAATTTCTTGATGAGAGTTGATGAATAGAGAGAATTAGTAAGAATTGATGAATGAAAACGGAGTTTTTAGAAGGCTATTTATAGAGAAAATCAGCCAAAAAAGATAGAAAATCGAAACAGAGTTCTGACGCGCAACACGAGGTTAGCGCCAGACGCTGACCTTAGCGTCAGGCGCTAACGCTAGCGCCAGGCGCCAAGCTTAGCGTCAGGCGCTAATGCTGGCGTTTGGCGCTAACTTAATTATTGACGCGTTTTCTGAAATCAGATAGAAATTGCCGTACAGGAGGATAAAATCGTATTTTCCTCAAAAGCATTCTTTTATTCTGATTAAAACTCTAAAATGTCAACAAAAGTCAATTTATCAATGCTAATTGAATAAGGAAATGAAAAGAACCTTTTAGAAGAATCTAGAAGACTAAAACCATTCCTAATTGCATTAGGAATGATATATCCATATTAGGCCCTCCCCTAGATCATTGAGCCGCATATAAGGCTTAAACTAGGCCCAGTTCAGTAATTTGGCCATAACTTCCTCAATATTCATCGGAATTGGGCTTATAATATATCGTCGGAAAGGTCTTTTCAAACCCTATACAACTACACTACTATTGGACCCATATCATGGACCAACCAAACTGGATTGACTGTTTTCTTAAAATAGGTTTTCAAAAACAGAGAGAAGAGAAAAGAAATTAAAAATATCCACAACACTAAACTTTCCACACTTTCACTTCATTCGATTATGATTCGACGTGAAAGGTACTCATTACTGGGTTTGGTTTTGGGGAGACACAAATGGGTATCTACACACGCGTTTTCTTATTTTGATAAAATTTAAGGGTACGAGAGGGTAAAACTGTATTTTCCTTAAAAACACTTCTTTTATTCTATTTAAAATTCTTAAAAGTCAATTAAAGTCAACTCATCAATGCTAATCAAATTAGGATTCAAAAGAACATTCTAGAAGATTCAAGAAGACTATAATCAATCCTAATCACATTAGGAATGATAAATCATAATAGGCCCTCCTCTAGATCATTGTGCCGCATATAAAGATCAAACCGGGCCCAGTTTAGTAATTTGGCCATAACTTCCTCATTATTCATCGAAATTGGGCTTATAATATATTAGTGGAAAGCTCTTTCCGAACTCGACCCAACTACACCATTATTGGACCCTTGTCATGGACCAAACCAAACTGGATTGGCTCTTTTCATAAAATAGGTTTTCAAAAACATAGAGAAAGAAAAGAATTAAAAACAAACCGCAACACTAGACTTTCTACACTTTCACTTCATTCGATTATGATTTGACGTGAAAGGTACTCATCACTGGGTTTGGTTTTGGGGAAACACAAATGGGTGTCTACACATACTATTTCTGAACAAGATAATAATCAAGCTTTTGAAGTACTAGAAAATTCTTCTGCAAAACCTACAGAAGAACAAACAGAGTAAATACAATATTAATAGACAATGTTCATATTAATATAAACTTTATTCATTTTATTTGTATTGATATTCATTCTTATATCCGCAGAATATGCCTCAAAATCGACTTATAGAACTCGTTATTGTTTCTGAACATGAATCTCTTTCAATTGTTGCTGCTAAGTAAGAAAATCTTCAATTCTTCTCTTTATCATTAATTGGTTATTTATGTTCATTATGTTTAATAATATTATTCATTATTTTTTGTAGAACTCAAAAGAGAAGGAAACATGTTGCTTTAAAAAAGAAATCATGAGAAAGTGAAAACAGGGAAAGGGAAGGAAGAATTGCGAATGAAGGTGTTAAGAAATATCCTAATAAGAAAAAGGAAGGAAAGGGGTTGAAAAAGAAGGAGTTAAAGAAGAAGAGTTAAAGGAAGGAAAAGATGAAGGAAAAAGTTAAAAAATCAAAAGCAACTCCAAAGAAACGAGAGTTGGAGGAGAAGGAGTTAAAGGAGAAAGAGTAGAAGAAATTGAAACATAAGTTGAAGATGTTAAAGGAGGAAAAAGTTTAGGGAAAAAAATAAATTGTAAAAAAAAAAAAAAAGAGAGAACCAGAAACAGATGATGATGAACTTGAAGTGGTGAATTTGGATGATGGTGATGAGAATGTAATGGATGATAAAAATGACATATTAGGTGTTAGCGTTGGGCATTTCAAATTCATGAATTTTGTGAAACATTTGAGTCAAGCTCAAAGAGAACTTGTTGTTCAAATGGGGTTTGGAGCTATACTAGATGTTAATCTTCCACAAAATGATCAAAAATTTTGTGCATGGTTGGTGAAGAACTTTGAAGAAAACAATTGCACACTATATTTGCCTTATAACAAATATATTGAAATTTGAGAAGGTGATGTAGAAGTGGTATATGGAATACCATGGGGAGAAAAAGTTGTGAAAGAAGTTAAAGAAATAGATGAATCTCATGAAGAGGAAGAGAAAGAAAGTCTTTTGACAAGGTTAAAATATGTTCAGTTTATTAATGTTCATTATACATTAAATGATGTTCATTATTACTTTAAGTATATTCATTATTCTTATAACTGGTAATTATTTTTTAAAATTGAATATGAAGGTGGAGAAAAAGCATATAGCATCACTTCTGGAAGCCCAAAAACTCACTTGATTTTGGGAAATTATTCACCTGAAGAACAGGAAGAAGAGAAGGACAAGAAAAAGAGGAAGAAGAAGGCTGCAAAAGCACCTGCTATTCAACAAAACTCGGGTGAAGCAGATGAAATTTTTCTCATTGATTTTGTTGTGCTAGCCTTAAACTGTTTGATGAAATGAAGCCAAGACATCACCTGTCATTACAAGTTCCTATATTCATTCAAAGATTGTAATGAAATCAAGGAGTACAATTGGTGCAAGTATGTACTTAGAAGCTTGATAGATACTACTTTTGATTGGAAAAGCAACAAGAAAGGGTTATATAAGGGTCCATTGCCTTTCTTAATGGTATTTCTATAATTCATTTATTCATTTTGTTTGTTAATATATTTAATACAGTTATTCATATTCTAATAATAGTTAAAAATTTATTACTTTAGTTTATTTAAAACATTCATATTATTTAGTTGATTGTTCGTATTTTTATATGAATTATTCTATGTTTGCTCAGTTGACTTACTTTGATCGATTGCAAAGAAAGGGTATTGTAACACCAAGAACTACATCACTGATTTCTGTTTGGAACAAGGACATGGTGAATGAGATAAGGAAGTTGGAGAAGAAGGATTATGGATTAGGAACCGTGTTACCAAGAATCCAAAAGGCTTTTCTCGATATACCAGAGAAAACAGATAAGGTTTGTTTTTAAAAAAAATACAATTTTTGATATGATGCTTGACAATCTTGTTCATAATACTATAATTTTATATTCATAATTTTTGTTGTTGCGATTCAATAAAGTATTAAGTTCTATATTCAATATCTGGCATATTCATGGAAGAGTTTATTGATCTGGCTAAAACTCTAGGTGGATATTTGTCAAAGATGGCAACAAAACTCAATCGTGCCAAGGAACTATTTTCAAACAATCTCCTTTACAAAACAATGGAAGAGTTCATTGAAAAGAAGTTAAAGGAACCTTCAATGTTGAGTCAAGATGAAGAAGTGCTTGGATCTGAGTCTTTTTTGCGTGCAGTAGATGAGGTTGAGAGATAGTACTTGCAAAGAGTAGCTGAGAGGATAGTAGCAGAAAAGAAAGAAGAAAAAAAAAGCAGCAGCTAAGGAAATAGGGAAAGCTACATTTGACCCGAGTAATCCTTTTGACTTGAGGATTAATGGAAGTCCAACCCCAAGCCCCAAAGAAGCTGTTATTGCAAGCGGATCAAAAATCAACTTGAATCTTGGACTAGGACCGTCAATAGTTGAGATAGAAGAAATTTCGGTAATGGAAGCATCAGAATTTGATACTATGCTGAACAACCTGGATACAACTAAGGCAGATATTTTTGGCCCGCCACTGTAAGAAAACTTCTCGTTTAATGAAGGGCTAAGTAAAGTAGCTCTAAACTGGACATTAGTTTTTGTGTAGGACATATAATGGTTGAAGTGCTAGGATGTAGTATGAAGATGAAATTTTTTGGTCAAGTACTAGAATGAAGACTTTGAATAAGTTTTAGGAAGAAGTACTGTGAAATTTTTTGGACATAATGCATGTAATTAAAATGAACAAGTATTAGGATGAAGTACTTTTGTATTGTAAATATGTTGGGAAAACTAATGTGATTATGATGAACTAGTATTATCATGTAAATTTTATGCATATAAGTATTATATAAAACTTATGGTTAAGTTTGCTATACTTGTTCATTTTATTTATATTTATGTTCATTTCTATATACATAATGTATTGTTCTCAGATATAAAGAAGCAGCACCAAGTGAGGAACAAAAAAAAAACCAGAAATTGAACAACGGTAAAAGAAAAAAATTTAATATAACATGTTTATTCATTCAAATTTGACTAATGTTCAATTGGATTAATTATTTGTTCATTGAAATTTAATCAGGGAGACAAAATTGCAAATTGAGCCAGAAAAGAGTGCAGTAGAAAAACAAGAAAGGTAAAATTATTGTTCATTTAAGAAAAAAGTTAATGCTCATAATCTAACCCTTTTTGTTCATACAAATATTTTAATTGTTCAGAAATCAGGGAGAAAAACGAAAAAGATAAGGAGCCAAAATTTTCAAATTGAGCTAGAAAAGAGTGCAACAGAAAAACAAGAAAGGTATAATCATTGTTCAAATCTGAAAAAAGTTAACGTTCATAATCTGAACCTTGTTGTTCATATATATACTTTAATTCTTCATAAATACTTAGAAATAATTTCATGTTTATTCAATTAGATCAAAGGATAATGAGGCAAAGAAAAGACCAAGAAGAGAAATTAAAAGACTGTCTCCTTGTCTTAAATCCCCTTTCGATTAAATACAAAGATTAGTTCAAGGATGTCAACTCAATAAATGCAACCATTTCTGATTATGCATTCGGTAAAGATCTTGAAGAGTAAATTTTATTTGTGAATTGTATTGTTCACAAGTGAATTTTATATTATTCATAAACTAATAAGCATTGTTCATTCTTTAATAACTTTAAATTTTTTTTGTTTGTTTCGATTGTAATACCCGAATATTTTATGATTTTATATAATATATTTTATCAAAAAAATAATTTATTTTTATTTATTAAATAACTTTACTAATCTCATATTTTTATTTTAGAGTTTGAAAAGTTTTAAAACCCTATTTTGTTTAAATAAGGCTCTATAATTTTTAAGCGTATATAAACTATTTTAACCCCTATTAATATTATTAATCCTCAAACGATATTTTATCAAAGAAAAAATGGTTTGCCGATTTCTTTTTTGCGTGAGATTCATTAACCAAACCCAAAAGAATTGATTCTTGTGAAAAGTTGTTGTTTCACAACTTTTATCATTCTCCATTCTCCATTATCTTATTTATTGATTTGTAAGGAAATCCCAGGACATGTTTGTATAATGAAGGCTGCGATTTGCGATGTTGATCAATCTATTTCTTGGTTTGAATATCGTAGTTGATAGTATTTTGTTGAAAGGTAAGCACACGTGTCTTAAATTTTAGAGTTGTTTGACATAGGTTATTGTTTTTATTGATTGTATATCGCATTAATTATTATGTGTAAAATTTATGATTTCTTATTTGTATGATCAAGAGTTATATATGTGTAAGTAGTATTTGTATTATTATATGATTGGTTGTGTTATTATTTCTAGGGTTTTAATATTTTTTCTATAAGGAGTATTGTTTTATCGAGGTTTTAGGGTAACTAATGCAGAGTATTATTTTTGGGTTGAGATATGATTATATATGGGTATTAGCTTTATTGCCCTATAAGAGTTGAGATATTCTATTATTGAATTGAGTTCGAATTGTTGTATTATTTGGGAACTTGTTCCATTGTTGAGTTTTTATTATTAGTTTGTGAAAGACTATTTAATCAATGTATGAGATCAAAATGTTGAGATTATTATTTTGTTCATGGTTTGAGGCTCGGCGTTATAGACTTTAGTCCTTGGCATGTTGGTAATGAGATAATGAATGAGTTAAGAATGAGGTACAATCTTTATTTATATTTTTCAATGGTCCCCTATAGTGAGAATTGGCCCGTATGTGGTCTGGTTCAAGGTGTTTTCTAGTTATTGGGAGTATTCAAGTTTTTATACTTGTTGGCTTTATTCGAATTACCCATGTCCAAGGCTAGAGAGCTTGGCACACTATTGGTTATGAGTTGAGTACAATATTATTATTATTCGAGGTTGAGTTGATAATGGTTATTTTCAAAGTATAGAATTATTTTTACCTTAAGGTATATATATGTGTGATGTAGTTTTGAACTACATTGTTTAAATGAGCTAGTAGTGTAAATTATTCTATTATTATGTGTATTCTGATATGTGATGATCACTCAGCTTTTTGCTTATGTGTGTGTATTGTTTTGTTGTGCTACTTGTGTTTGTGGCCATGTTTTTTTCTTATGGTGGCCCTGCGGCGGTATATTTTGAAATTTGTCCTTAATGGTGAGCAGTCAAGATTGTAACAAGTTGATCAAGAGATGATCGTAGCTAAAGGAGCTCAAGTTTTCGATTAGTTTATTATAACCAGTTTAATTTATAGAGTTGTATAAATAGCTCACTTAGATTATTGGGTTGTAATTATTGGGATTTTGTAAGCCATAACACTTGACAGGTTGTATAGTGTGGCGGTGATACTTTCGATTTAGGTATATGCTTTCGCAATTTTATTTAAAGGTTGTTCATTTTTCCTTTAATTCTCGTTTATTATTTGTTAATAAATCGGGGGTGTTACATTGATAGTGAGCTTTTGTACCAAGATGGAGAAAACAGTGTCAACAAAGGTGAAATGAAGACACTTGGAACTAATGCAGAAGTGGACAGTGCCGTTATTGATGCTTGGGCTCATATTCTGAACATCAAGGGAAAAAAACATTGTCTTTAATTCTCCACAATGCCATATGTAAGAAGATATCTACTTTATATTAGTAGTGTTTATCAATATGTTAGAATGCTTAGTATTATTCTATAAAATGCTCATTATTCTTACATTACATGTTCATTAATTTACATTACATGTTCTTTATCATTGTATTAATGTTCATTATTGTTAAATAAAATTTTCATTATTATAATACAACATGTTCATTTATTTATATTTGAAATGCAGGTGATAGTATGCCAGAAAAATAAAGGTGTAGCTCCAAACACTACAAAAGAACAGAGATTCGAAAAGTTTGCACAAAGATTGCACTATGAAATGAGAACCAGTGGCATTCAAAGAACAAAAGACTTTATGCAATTCTTTTTTCATGTGGCTGCATATAAGCATTTCTATTTAATATGCATCAACATGTAAAATGGCATGATTGATTTAATTGATAACAGAAAGCTACCAATGAATGTAAAGCAAGTACAAAATATGAAGACAATCTAGGGAAAATGGTAAATTACTAAATTTGCTTTGTTCAATTTTTTCCGTTCTTTGTTCAATTTTTTTTGTCCATTTTTCAACGTTTCAGTTTGTTCAATTTCATATTTCAGCTTGAAGCTTTTGCACATTTTCTAAAAACTAAAGATTACAAAGAAGCTAATTTCAATAATGTAAAGAGCTTTAAAACAGATCTGATTAAGATGAAATGGAGAAGCAATTTGGATCATGACAATTATGTTGTTCACTTAATGAAACATATGGAGACATACACCACAAATCATTTGGTAGAGTGGGATTGTGACTTGGTGGCTAATGATGTAAGTATTTTAACAATCTTAATCATAATTATGAGTTTATTCAGTTGTTTTTTTTTTTTTATAAATGTTCAAAATCTTTTATAATATGTTCATTTTTGGGAAATCAGATTGATCAAATCCGGAAGCTCAAGGTAAAATATTGTGCAGAAACTATTCTAATTACCACCAATCGAGAAGGATACAGAGTGAAGATGGCTACAAGAAGAAGAATTGAAGATAATTAATGATAATGTGAATTAATTTTATTAAAGAAACTATGGTTTTATTTAAGTATGTTTGAATGTTTACTTTGAAAGATAAATGTTATTAAATTTGAGATTGAAATTTTATGTTGAATTTGTAGCAACTATTTATGTTAAACATGTGCTAAAAAATGCAAATATAGATGTTCAGTATTTTTGTTAATTTGTAAAAATAATATAGAACAATAATAATAAATTGAAAAAAACAATGAAAAAATAGATTTATATATTGACAAGTAATAAAAATTTGTATATTATTACAATTTCAATTTAAAAAAAGTAATAAATCTATGAATAACTTGCCTTGTCAAACATTGATAACACATTATCATAATGAGAAACATTAGAAGAGCCAGAAGCACTAGAAGATCCTTCATTCCTTGCATTGTGACCAGCATCAGAATACTACAATAAAAATTTTAAAAAGGGAAAATTAAAAAGTAAATTTTGTTCATAAATAAAATGCACATATTCGTCATTTAATATGAAAAAAATCATATTACCTGAAACCATTTACTCTTTTCACATTGAAAACTTCTGTTGGAATTGACTTCAGGATGTTTTATTTTTGGGAAATTCTCAATGGTAACACCATAATTTTTAGTTTTCTCAGTGGTGAATTGCAAAAAAAATTATTATCTTTGGTAAACCTAAACTATTTATAATTATTATTAATGACATTAATGATGACTTTTTTAATAAATAATTATCTATGGTTAGGATTTCATATATTTTTATAATATTTAATTAATTATATTATATAAATAAAATAATAAAATAAAAAAAAAAAAACCTATTCCCCCAACAGCCACCCCTCTCCACTCCCCCACCATCAGGTCGGCCGGCGCCCAGCCTCCCTCTCTCCCCCACATCGGTGCCGGCGCCGGCGCCAAGCCCATCCCCCTTCCCCAAATCCAACCCACCTAACCCTACGAAACCCCTCTCTCCCCTATTCCCCGAAACCCACCTCCCCCACGGCCCCACCCTCGAAAACCCCAGCCACTACCCTCTCCCCCTACCCTTAAGAACCCTCAACGAGAGTTTTTGTGGGTGGGGAAAGGGTCGATTAGGGTTTTTCGAGGATGGTGGGCTGGGTGGCTAGGGTTTTCGGGGGTGGGGGAGAGGTTGTCAAGGGTTTATGAGGGTGTAAGAGGGCCGATT